AGGTGGCTAATTAGTTGTGGGGCCCCTCAGATGGAAACAGTGGGTAGCCCACTAACGTCCTACTTGACTTCTATAACTATAAAACTCTAGGTCAGGCAAACAAAGGGGTGATTTGAGCCACTAGAACAGGAAGCCACTCTCCTGATCCCATTCTCTGATCTGAAGCATCTCATAGAACCGCGAAGGCAACTTTGAGGAAGAAACCTACAGCCTCATGAAAGCAGGTATTATACATCCTCCTTTTAGATTTTCCTATGGAAACTATGGGAAGTATGGCTCTGTAACAAGATAACTGCATTGGAGCACAGGAAATATCCAGTCCTTTTCATCTTTATTGACACTGCTATTCAAAATGTGCTAATTCCTGGAGACCAACCAGTCCTGTGTGACACCATTCATAGTCAGGGTGACACCATTCATCGTATCAGATAAGCCCACCACCTGGTACACGCAGGGCGACACAAACCTGTCATGTGATTACAGTTCTGAGTGTATAGTTGGAATAGGTACACTCAGAATTGGGCAGAATCTGCACATTGGTCCCCTGGCTAGGGATTATTATGCTAGAAATGGATGAGTAAAATCTCTTTGAACTCCCACTGCTAATACAAAGACTACGTCCACCATCAAAGATGGGAAGGCTGCAGGGGCAGTGATCCTTATCACATCTCCATGCATCTTGCTTTTGATCAGTGCAGCAGGAAGACGGGTCTCCCAGAGTAACAGTAGATTAGCATAAGCTTCATCAAGTAGCATCGCTAATTGTGCCTGCTCTTCTAGAGGTAGTCACTTTGCTTAAACCAACATGGTCCTTAGTACCTGATATATAATTACTGATCAGGAATATGGCTGTTTTTCTTTTCTTCAGTAGGCAGACACCAAAATCCCTATTTTTATGTTTGCCCAGTTATGCTAACTTCTTGGATCTGTGCTAAAATCTAGTCAATGGATCCCTTAATAACGACATCTCATATCTCACTGATCCTCCATATGACAAAAAAATTATGTTACACTAGATTCCTTGGTAAGACAATGTATATAAGAAGGAAAACATCAAAAGTAATATCAGTCTGCAACTTCAATGATGTTTCTGGGAGTCCACTGATATGGGATGAGTTGAGAGAGCACCCCCGCAGGGCAAGTGAGGTTGCTAACCATGTACTCCCCTCACTGGAAAAAAAAAAAAAAAGGCCAAAGATGCTTCTGCGACCCACTTCCTGGATGACCTGAAAAGCTGCTCATTTTGAGCAGGGCATATATCAGTCGAGGGCTTTCCATCTGGTACGAACCACAGCAATGCTCCTTGGCCTTGGTGACTCATCAGATCCAATAGTGCTTAAAATATCAAATGAGGCGAATGAGGATGCTGAATAAAGCCAATGGTTGAGTCCCAAATACAAGCATCATGTGGTGGCCTCCAGGGTTTTGGATGAAGGCCATGCCCTTTTCAGCAAGTCATTATTCCCCTGTGAGAAAGACCTCACTGCTGAACTCTGGCAGAGACTATCAGAGCATGGCACAACAGCTGACCGTTACAAGCGTGATATCTCATCTGCCTCGCCTGGAACCTAGCACGCCGTATCATTATCAAGTGGAAGTGTTTTTCTACAGGCTTTGAAGCAAAACACATTGTGAAAGTGGAAGGTGCATGAGCAAGGGGTTCATACTTCCGGCGTGTTTACTTCTGACTTAATGCCCAGCCATCCTCAGCCCACACTTGGGACTCCAGATGAGTGGCCCGTGAATAACGGACTACAAAGGAAAAATCTTGAGCTGGGTTTAGAGAGGGCTTTGCAGGATATTCTGGCACCAGCGGAAAGGTTGGCTTAAACGTTTCACACCCATTTAGGGGTGCCCCCGAGGGACAGTGAAGAAGTAAAATTTCCCTGTGCACAGAAACTTGAGGTCTCTTTGTCCAGATAGACTGTAAAGAGTGATGGCTTGAGGTTAGATCTACACAGAATGGGTGGAATGCGCTAATAGCTTGGTCAGATGTTCAGGCATTTGGAAGGCATGAGATTGGAGGATTGGATGGATGTACCATCTGGACGATAGGAATTTGAACATGCCTTGTTCACCACTGTGCCCATAGATTCTGAGGAATGATGGACTTTGGCATATAGCAGGACTCAGTAAATATGTATTGACTGGATAAATTAATATTAAGATTGTTTCTCTTTATTTCTTAGTATAAAAAATGCTGCATGAACATTTTTGTCACCAATCTTTACCAGAGTCCTACTGTAATAACTACTTCTTTAGGATACATTTCTCTAAGTGTAAATACTGGCTAAAAGAGAAGGTAGATTTTTAAGGCATTAATATTTATTTCCAAGTTGACCAAATAAAATCAATTTACATCCTCACTGCCCAATAAGCTTTCCATGAATGCATATTTCTCTATGTCCCCATCAAAACGGAATATTTTATTTTTAAAAAAGTCTTTGCATTTGCATAGGATTAAAAGGTTTTCTAATTTTAATAGTTAACTTATTTGATTACAGTTTAGGTTGCTCATTTTCCTATTTTTGTTTTCATCTGTAATCCTTGAGCAGTTGCCTATAACTCAAAAGTTTTGTGATTTGTTTATTAATCAAATAGATTGCGGGAACTTTCAATCCCTATAACATTCATTCTATAGTCAGTACAACATCCAAAGCATAGAGGGATATTTATTTTTAATCATTGTTTTTCTACCATCATGTTTAAGTCAGCTGGAAACCAGGGAGCTCATTTGCTACTCCAAACAATGGATAGTATGTTCAAAGGATCCAGCAGTCTAGCAGAATCAAACAGCAAAAAGACAAATAAATGAACAGTAATTGAAAGCACTTTTCACAGGTCAAAAACATAAGCCATTAATGTTTTACTGAGCAGATGGCATTAGTGAGTAACCAAAGATGCGTGTTATTATCGTATCCCCCATTACTCCTTTCATATAAGCAGCTCAGGAGATGTAAGGCACTTATCCAGATGGTGGACTCAATAATTCACATGCACATGGTACCTGGTCTCCCTACAAAAATACTCAACTTGGTCAGTAAAGGAACACTTGAAACCTATGTAATTTAACTAACCAATGTTATGCCAATAAATTTAACAAGAAAAAGAAAAAAAAAGAGTTATGGAAATTGATGGTGGTGGTGGTTGCACAATATGAATGTATTTAATACCACTGAACTGTAAACTTAAGAATGATTAAGATGGTAAATTTTATTTTATGTGTATTTTATCAGAAGAAAAACATTTAAAAAATTTGCACACTATTAAAGAGAAAAACAAACATTCTTACCTTATAAAAGAGATAATTTACCTCGACATTATTTATAATTGCAAAAACACTAGAAATTTCCTTTATAGTATACAGGTAAGAAATTATGGGACCACATCTAACTAAAGAAATATGCTGCCATTAAAAACATTTCCAAAAAATTCTTAGCAACATAAGAAAATGTCCATGACATAATGTTAATTTTTTTTTTTTTTAGCTGCACCATCCTGCCACCTGTTGGCAGCTGAGCTGCAGCTCAGCGGCAGCTCAGCAGCAGCTCAGCTCGGGTGGGGACTTGAACTGCTGTTGCTCAGAGCTCACTCTCTTGAGCAAGCTCTTAACCAACTGAGCCACTCGGCTGGCCCGTAAATTTTTTACATGCACTAAAACTACAATTATGTTAAATATGTATGATGATAAATATACAAAAGTACTAGTGGAAATACACTAAAGTATCTATCTGTGTGTAGCGAGATCAATGGTTGATTGTTTTCTTCGTTTTGCTCTTATAATAACAACGTACTACTTTTCTAACCAGATAAAAACAACACCAGAGACTGTTTTTTAAAACAGAGAGATGATAAGAGCAATCAACTCTATGAAGGACAGTGAGACTAGGGTGAGTAAATGGGGGGACTTGCTTTGTCTGTACTGCCAGAATTCTTTAAAACAAGAATATACTTAGACCCTGGCTGCTATGTTAAAATGAACTGTAGAGGGATGAGGATATTATCTTCAGTTTCGCAGATGAGAAAAACCAAGGCTTAGAGAGGTTGAGTGGTTTGTTCCCATAGCTAATAAAACATTAAAGGCTTCTCTTTTCCCTGCATGCTCTTCACCATTAGGTGATACTTTCTCAATATGCAGGGTGTCCATACTTAACGCTTCGCCCAGGGCAGCCCAGGTTTACACATGTTGAGTTAGCATGATTTAATTGTGCCCTCCTTTCACCTCAGATATGCCCTGGTCTAGATCACAAAGTATATGAGATAGATAGATGATGATAGGTAGATAGATAGATAGATAGATGATAGATACACACACACACACACACACACACACACACACAGGGTGCCAAAAATGTATACACATTTTAAGAAAGGAAAAAAACTATTAAAATTGTAATACTTAATATATACCCATAACAAAAGATGTATACAAGTCACATTTGACTTCTGCAATTACAAGAGGTGCTCAAAGTGGTTCCCATCAACATCCAGACACTTTTGATTATGGTGAATTACTGCTTGAGCAACACTGACGAAAGTGTTCACTTGTATACATTTTTTTGACAACCCCGGTAGATATATTACATGTATAGTTTATCTTATCAATAAGCAGGAGTGGGACCAAGTAGGTACTAATAATATAGGTTATCCCATTCACTGTCATTAACATCAAGTGTTGAACGAGTATTGGGTTAATAACTGCCAGCTCTCTTCGGCTGCTAAAGAATTAAGTCTAGGAGATCGATGAGAAATTCCCCTGTGGAAAAAGTCAGTGGCACTTGCTAAGTAACTGCCCACATCCTCTCCTCTCACTGTTCAGGGCTAACAGCTCTATCATTACCTCACTCTTAGCCCCTCGTCCTTCACTCCTATGACCTGATGGGCATTTTGAATCAGGGTTGCTGCCAACATCTTGACATGCCTACAATCAAATGACACCGTATCCCCGAACCAGCTCTCCCTTCAGACTTCCTCAGTTCTATAAATGAAGCCATCTGTCACCCAGACTCAGACTGCACAGTCATCTTCAACCCCCTCCTCTGCTCTAACCTACCACGTTCACCTCATCCAGCTGCCCTGTTTGGTGGGTCACCAATGGACTTTAGATCTGTCACCAGGGAACTGTAATGACCTCTGCCCCTAGTCCCTGCAGAAGCTTTATCTGAAAAATCTTCCACAAGTACTGCTATAATTAACAATACCCTTTTTTTTAAAGTATGCAGCCTCTCCAGTCCAGCCCAACTCATGTCTCCTCCAAAGAATGCTTCCTGCAGAAAGGCACTTCTTCCTGTGGATATCCATCAAGCCTCTTATCTGTACCACTTGCTCAACACTCCAACTGCAGGTACGGTTATCTATTCTCTTTAATTAGTGTATGGCATCCCTGAGGACCAGGATCCTCTCTCAAACATTTTTAAAGTCTCCCTCAGGCCTAATACAGTGCTTGACGCCAAATGTTTTTCCTGTTTGCCAGCGGGAAATGGAAGGACAGAAACTGAAGCTGAGAGACAGCCAAGCTAGATAAAGTGTACCCGGAGAAAGTTGCAAGGATTGGAGGATGCCGCTAAGAACATCTTCCCAGTCTTCTCAGAAAAGCCACAGAAATATTCTCTAGTTGTATACTCTAATACCATCTCATCAAACTCCTGTGAGAAAAGATTGTCTTTAATTAATGTATCTGGACAAACAGTATCAAAGATAAAAATATATGATTCATTTGCCCAAGACAACACTGCTGGACTTTCTGACCTCCTTCAGTGTCTTTTTCACTTACACATATCTTCATTCTGGAAGTTTTGTCTGAATTTTTATTTCTTCAAGAACAAATTGGAATAACTTGATGGAAAAACAAAATTGTATTTTTGACATTCAATATACTCACAAAGTACTGTGTCATTTAACTCCTCTATTTCTTTGGAACAGTCATATTTTGGCAAAGCAGAAGAAACTAAAAATGCAAAGACCTGGCCACTTAATATAA